AATTTTTTTTTTTTTTTTTTTTGTTTCGCGGGTTTCGAACGTGCGATGGAAATGGTCGCTTGGACACTGCGTCGATGAGAATAACAATGACGATAAGAAAGGCTCGCTCGATCAACCACGGTTGTACACCAGTCCGAATTTGAATGTGTCTACTTGTTTGAAAAGTCGCACAGTCACGTACTGCAGCAGTCGATATTCTGTCACGTACAGCGAGGTGGTGTCATGTCAAGCATCGGACCGACGCACGTCGACCCGCAAACGACGAGTTTAAAAGAGCTGTTCCGGGGGAAATGTTGCGAATAACTTTAAAATTTATTATCGTGTAACGCAGCCGTAACTCTCTCTTTCTCTCTCTCTTTTTTCTCTTAAAGTACGCGTTGTGCACAAAATGTGCGAGCATTCTAATTTATTACTAACGATCGTGCGCGCGTGGGGTTTCCTCTGCAATTTATAGCGTAACTACGTGCTAACATCTAGTTTATTTTTTTTTAACCGTGTTTCTAGATTATAACTTTCTCAGTTTTTTTTCCCGCCTGTCGCGGAACGGGAACGGCGAATTCGTCAAACGCTGCTCAAAGTGAATGAACGAAACGAGAAGCGGGAGCTTGTTCGTTTCGCTTTTGCACAGCGGAAAAACAACCTTCCCCTCCGGCTTCTCGTCCGTTTTCTTCGATGCGCCATATTATTATAAGCGATTGTACACGTTACGCAACACGTTGACGCGCACGCGTTACGTTTGTGTCAATAAAGTGCCAAAGAAAACAAACAATTGCACGACGATTCCAGTCTTGAATTCCATCCAGATCCAGTCCGATTTCCCGCGACGAATCTCGTCGTGTGTTGTTTGATTGACAGTGACGATTGAAAGAAAGGGAAAGCAAAAAGGTGGGGGGGGGAGGGGGGGAATCGATTTAGCGTACGGACGCGATCACTCTCTCGATGTCGACGTCGCGTATGACGGGAGCGAAAAGATGATTGGCCAGTTGCCGAGGGCAGGACGCCGTCAGCACCGGAAGAACGAGCATGAGTTTGGCCATCCTGACCGAGGAGGAGGACTCGGTCCTGTCGGCGACGTGCCGAGCCAGAGTCTCCACCGCGGTGTCCGCAGCTCGCGACGTCAAACGAACGGCGCTGCTCGTCTCGGCGATCTCTACGGGGCGTGCAGAAGAAAAGATTGGATTGAAAGAGCGATAGAGAAGCCTCAGAAAATTCAAAACTGTCTCGTTCGTTGGGAATTCGGCGAAAGAGACGATTGAGAGAGAGGTGAAACGGTAAAACTTGGACGATTGGATTTACCGGGTCGGCAGAGGACCAAGGTTTCCAGAACCGAGAACTCTACTCGATCGGGGCGCAAGCTGGAGATGGCGGCCCTGGCCGCGGCCAGAGCCCGACGTTGGCCGTCGTCGGCTCGGTCGTCGACGATTCCCGGCTTGCGAAAATCGGTCAGATCGACCGGCCAGATGGCAGCTCGCAGAACGAAGGCCGCGGCCCATCCCCTTCGGAGGATCTCGTTCTGCTGGCGATGATCGAGCGTGGAAAATTCTCGGTGATGGCGAGCGGCTCGCACCGCTGCGAAGAATATTCGAGCCGCGACCTCGTATCGCATCGTCTCCTCTCCTGAAAGCAATTGCCAATCTTCGTTAACCAACCTTCGCCCCCCCGCACCCCTCCCCGCCCCTATAACGCTTCTATCTCTCGACTGTTGCTCGTGTGTCGTTTCGTTTACCACCTGCGAGCATCCTCGGCAAGGATCCGACGTCGACGTGAACGTTGCTCGCCTGGTGTCGCACCGTAGTTACGATCGTTGTTTCTTTCAGTGCTGCGATTCCTGCTTGCACAGAGAGAGAAGACGAAAGAGAAGAAGAAGAAGAAGAGGAGGAAGAGGAGGAGGAGGAAGAAGAAGAACGGCGAGCGACGGATGCGACGTTGTTTCGAGCGCGCGGCCCTCTTTCCTCCTGAACGGCTGGGCGGAAAACAGAAGAAAAAGGAAACATTGAGAGCTGTTTGTCTGACGTTCTCGTCGCCGACGGATCGTTATCGGAGACGAGCGATAAACAACGAGGTGAACGACAAGGCAGGCAAGGAGGAGAGCTGACGACACGCTGCTTCTCGTTGTTTGCATCTCATTTCGTCAACTCGTTGATCGTTTGCTTGTTGATCAAAGTCGGCTTACCTGCCGTGTTCATACCAACGGCGAAGCACCTCTTCAGGCGGCAGTACGGGCACCAATTCCGCCTGGCTTTGTCCACGAGGCAGGCACCAGTCCCGGCTGGAAAAAAGAAGATTCACGGAATCGCGATGTTTGTGGGTTAGGTTTGAGGCGAGATGGACGAAGGAAGAGGCGATCGAACGAAAGAGGGCCTCGCCGAGGACGAGGAGATTCTATACCTATACAGGTGAAAAGGGCGCCGCGACGCACCGACCGCTTGAAGAAGCAGGAACAACCGTCGCAGCAGTAAACTCCGTAGTGCTTCCCGTAAGATCGGTCGCCGCAGACTCTGCAAGCAACCGGCGTCGGCAGCGTTCTTCCTGCGCCCGATGGAGGAGAATCCAATTAATCGAATTTGGTGGTGGTACCTTCCTACCTTCCACTTCACTCCCTCCCCCCCCCCTCCATCCCTTGTTCGTTGCACAAATTCTTCTCGATCTCACTCGATTAGCTTGCTCACTTACCCATGCTTCGAGGCTGCGAACGATTTCGGGTTCCGGACAACGATCAGGAAACAACGAAGGAAGGACTCGCATGGAAAGACGACGACGGTTCAACTGACGGCGAGACGACGACGACGACGACGACGACGACGACGAGAGGTCGAACGAGTAGGGGGGGTGAATGAGGAGCGCGAGCGTCAGTCGAGTCGTCAGACCGCGAAAAGACAATATTTGCCGAGCGTCGTGGAGAAATCCACGTAGGCGACAAGCTCGAGAGCAGGAGGAGGGTGGTCGAACGATGGAAGGGTCTTCTCCCTGGACAAACGGCACAACAAAACGAGGTCGAAAGCTACTGGTATTTATTATTATTGCGCGTCGGGGAAAAAAAAAAAAAAAAACTAATCATACAGGAACTGTACAAAAGAAGCTGACTTATTTCTTCGAAGCGGACAGATTTCTTCGTTCGCGCGCTTCGGATTCGCCGCGCCTCTCCCGACGGTATCTCGATCGGACGCTTCACTCCGCCAAAGCTCGATCTCGATCCATGGAAACGTAGCTCCGCCAACTCGGCCGACTCGTAAACGTTTATTTACAATCGAGTGTCCTTCGACTCCAAGTCGGCTCGTTGCGAGCCCAAAGTTACGCCGGGGCAAAAACGAGACACACGCGAGACACACGCGTGGAGCAGGAGAAGTCGAAATCGATCGAACACGATCGACGATTGCCTCCTCTCTCTTCGGGATTACCAAACTGGCGGCGCGAATCGTCGACGAACGATCCGAAACGAACGAGAGCGCGTTCTTCAAATGATCGTCTGGTTGGCTGGCGTTCGCCGATCGGTCGTAGACAGACAGAAGCAAGAAACGAGAGAAACAGAGAGAGAGAGAGAGAGAGAGAGAGAGAAAACGCGCGACGTTCGTTTCGAGACGAAAATTACGAAGGATTACGTAGAGGCGAGTAACTTGGCGGCCGCGGTAACGTGATGCTGATGATGATACGGCGCCTCCTGGCTACTTCCGTAGTAGGTCTGCTGTTGATGCTCGCTGGTCGCTACCCCCAGCTGATGGGGATGCTGATAGTACGAGGAGTAGGGTTGACCGACGATGCCGTCGCAACTTCGCGGCTCGGTCTTCACCGTGGCGACGCTCCCCGTCGCCAGCAGCGACGTGTGCCCGAGGTAGACGGGTCTGTCCGACGAACTGGACGCCCCACCGGTCGACGACTTTGACACCTCGATCTGATGCTGTGACTGCTGTTGTTGTTGTTGCTGCTGCTGCTGTTGCTGACTATTTTTCAATTCTGCGGACCGAGAGAAAGAGAAATTTTCGCCGTGTTCGAACAAATTTCGATTCAAACGAACAAAGCGAGGGTGAGAGGGTGGAAGAAGAATTCGATCGACTCACCGGTGGACGGAGAGGATGCGGCGGACACGGCGGTGGTCTCGTGGTCGACGGTGGACGACGATCTGGCATTCGGCTCGGGCGTCTTCTTCGGCTTGCGTTTCCGCGTCTGAATGCCGTCCTTGCGCATCGCGAGAGGTCTGTTGACGCCGTGCAGCTTGAAGTAGAGGCCGCAAGCGTTGCACACCGGCTCGCCCTCGTTGTTGCGCCTCCAGAGGGTGGTGGTGCGGGTCCCGCAATTCGTGCAGCACAGGCCCAGACGTCTGGTCGCTGTCTGAAATCACCGACATCTACGTTTGGCTACGACTACGCACGCTACGTCGGCCCGTTAAAACTCGACTGTCCCTTTTCAGGGAACATCGTACTTGAATCCAACCAACGGCTTCATCATTTGCCGACAATTGTAACGAACGTCTACATTTGTACGACGCGATGTATTATAGTAGTATAATGTCTAAACAGATATCCTAGAGTGAAAGCTAGAACGTCGTAAGAAGAACGAAAGAATTTCAGAAGAAGAAACTTCTGGAGACAGTCCTTCTGGTCAATTGGCACCTCGTCTTGGAATGATTCGCATAAACTAGACTTTCTATTGCTTCTTACGAAAGTTTAAAAAAACGGTGGAAAATATTATTTTTCTAGATATTATATTTTTTTTTTTGTCGTCCAGCAAGCCCGCAACGCACGTCGGTAATTGCTGTAAATTGAAACGATGTCACATGTTGAAAAGATAGAGTCAACGAAATTTCGCTTTAAATACCATTCGAACGATTATTTCCAATGTTAGGGGGAAATAGGATAAAGCCAGGTGCTTAAAAATATTTAGTTTCGTAACAAAAAGTCGGATCAATTGACTAAGCACTGTCTCCAGAAGTTTCTTCTTCTTTTGCTCTTCTTGCGTCATTGTTGTAATTTTCACTATAGGCGTCTGTTCGGATATTGTACTATTACACATGGCATCGTAACACCAAACGTATGTATTCGTTATAATTACCAGCAGATTATAAGAAGAGGAAGTTCAAGTTGTTGGCTTTATTGGTCCCCTCAATCGAGAGCAAAGGTTTAACCATTTCGGTGTCAAAGAGAACATTATATTGAAATTTAGCTAAACTTATAAAATCTTTTACAATTGCTGATAATTATAACGGACGTACATAGGCATGGTGTTGTATGATATAATACAACGACGTAAAAGGAGTAAATCAAATTTCAAAAGGGGAAATTCTCGTCGATACTATTTGAATAATTCGGAAACTAAATTTCTTATTGCTTCTTACGAAAGTTTATAAAATTTCTTTACAAGAAAGAAGAAAACTTTACAGAAGAATGAAATTATATGTTCTGTAACTTCTATATACTACACTTGGCGATTGCTTTAAACGAATTTGCCTGTTTAAACAAATACAATCAATACAATTTTCTGCTAAATGCCATTTAAAGAGGACAATTATTTCCAATGCTATATCATTTTCTTTTTTTTTTTTTTTGAAGTGATACTTCACTCACTGTTTCGTAAATAAACTGCTGGTAGATAATACAAAAAATGTTTTCCACGGCAGAGAGTTAAAAAATCGTGTTGGATAGTGCCATACAGCGCTTCATTGACGTAATCGAAGCAACGCCAAGCAACATGACAAAAATGGATAAAGTAGAAATTGCCTATCTCTGTACGTGATTTAGGTTTAATTAAAAAGAAAGTAATTAGGAAAGGAAGCTTCAGTATGACGATATAATGCCGAAATATAGTCGAAATCGAATCGAGCGTATTGTATGTACAGCGTGAAAAGAAAAGTTTGTCCGTGGCAACGATCATAGATGAATTCCACACCCTCGATTTAACGGAGAAACTTGTGTAAAGAACCTGGCGCAAAATTGACGTTGACCTTGAACTTTAAGGTTAAAATTTGTTTGTTTGTTTGCATTGCACTCTACCACGAAGGTGAAATTTTTCCAGAGTCAGGTCGCAATCTAATATGCATAGTAAAAAAAATTTTCAACCATTAGATTACGATCTTTTCTTTCCACCCTGTGCATTGAGCATCGCGAACAAACGCTGTGGTATTGTCCGACACGAAATCTGAACGCGTTACATAGCACCAAACAGCTAACCTCTTGCGCTGGAACGACGTGTCACGCATGTCGACAATTCTTTTGTTCCAAAATTGTAATATTTTCCCAGTTTTAAGTAAAACGATATAGACAAAACAAATAATAAATTTATTACCTCTCAATAAGTTCTATCCAGCGATATCATACCGACGAGTTTAAAAAGAAAGCGACGAATTATTGTATACGGTTTGGTCACTCGTTACGGTCCGCAATCAGTTGCAAGCGCAAGTGGTTAACCTCTTGCGCTAAAATGACGTGCCACGCACGTCAAGAACTCTTTTGTGTCTCAAAATTGTAATATTTTCTCAATTTTAAATACATTTAAGTAAAACAAAGTAGACACAAAAATAATAAACTTATTACCTCTCAATAACTTCTATCCAGCGATATCATACCGACGAGTTTAAAAAGACAGCGACGAATTATTGTATACGGTTTGGTTACTCGTTACGGTCCGCAATCAGTTGCAAGCGCAAGTGGTTAACCTCTTGCGCTAAAATGACGTGCCACGTACGTCAAGAACTCTTTTGTGTCCCAAAATTGTAATATTTTCTCAATTTTAAATACATTTAAGTAAAACAAAGTAGACACAAAAATAATAAATTTATTACCTCTCAATAATTTCTATCCAGCGATATCATACCGACGAGTTCAAAAAGACAGCGACGAATTATTGTATACGGTTTGGTTACTCGTTACGGTCCGCAATTAGTTGCAAGCGCAAGTGGTTAACCTCTTACGCTGGAATGATGTGCACGTTAAGAATCTTTTGTCCCAAAATTGTAATATTTTCTCAATTTTAAGTGTATTTAAGTATAACCCAGGCAAAACAAATAATAAATTTATTACCTCTCAATAACTTCTATCCAACGATAACATACCGACGAGTTCAAAAAGACAGCGACGAATTACTGTATACGATTTGGTCACTCGTTATGGTCCGCGATCAGTTGTCAGCGAGACTGATTTTTTTAAAATGTTCTATATCGTGGCTCCATCTATGGAAACATGGCGGCACAATGCAATTTAAATTTTCTTTTGTTAGTGTCCTAGAACTGTTCTGTTTCACCGATGTTTTCGTTCTGTTCTTTGGTTCTCTGTTTGATACTGTTTGTCTTACAAAGCTACAAATTGTTTGATCTTATTCGCTGTTACTCAAAAATCAAGTTCCGAGACTAAGTTTCTTTTCTTTTCAGCACGTATGACGGCACGCGCATTTTTAAAATTATGAGCTCAACAGCGGCGACGTTGACTACAAAAGAAGAAAAGAGAAAATAAAATGGCGGAAAATATGTTACAATTTCAGTTGTCGAGTGTCTCGTTGTACTTAAATTAAAATAAGTAGTAGTTGTGGTTTCTTGTTAAATCTCGTAATATATTTATCAAACCTCCTCATTAGACGTTCTAGTGGCTCCATCTATAAAAACGCGGCGGCACAATGCGATTTAAATTCTCTTAGTGTCCTGGAATTGTTCTGTTTCACTGATGTTCGTCTGTTCTTTGGTACTCTGTTTGATACTGTTCTCACAAAGCTACAAATTGTTCGATTTAATTCGCTGTTACTTCGTAGCAAATTGTTGTTGATTTCATTCGAGTTACTCAGTCGCAAATTACTTGATTTTATTTGCTGTTACAAATTGTTATTAATTTTAAACTCGAGTTATTCAGTTACAAATTGTTTGATTTTATCCGCTGTCACGGTTAGGGGTACGGAGCAATTAACACTTTTTAACGGCCGCATGTTTTTCTCATCGTCGGTGCGTGTGCTCGTCAACGTGTGATATTTAAACGGGTAATCGTACTATAATTAATAACTGCACTATGTTCTTAGTTGATAAAAGTTGGCTTGTCAAATTGGAGATATTTTTTACATTCTTTCACACCTCTCGCAATTGTGTATTTAGAGAATTTACAACCAGGTCCTCCATACGTTTTAATCGAAATTAGTTAGTTTCGGGTGTGAGGAGATTTTTTTCCAAAAAAAAAAAAAAAATAACAATCGTCATGTCATAAGCTAATATACGGAAGTATCATGCAGGCAAAAGGATAGTTGCCAGAAATACGTATCAGAATACGAACTTGGAATCGGATACGAATTTGAAATCATTGCCTGGGAATCATTTTTGTATATCTTGCGAAAATAATGGTGCAAAGGTCAAATTTTCGCGACAATGGCCGACAATGTGTTGAATTTTGCCCGACAAGTATCCTAGATTGAAACTCACAGAACGATCACGCAGTTTTTTGATAGTTTAAAACACGGGTGTCCAACCTTTTAAATCTTCTGGGCCTCATTACCCAATAATTGAAGTCCGCACACAGTTTACCTATATTATAAGCTATACATATAATCTATATCAATAGTCAATGTAACCTAATATAGCACATAATTTATATTACTGTTTGTGAGAATGTTAAAACAACTTTTACAGGGAAACAATTGATTAGAAAAATATATTTGTATATTAATTAAAAAAAAAATATGAAAATGAGAACACTGAGCTTGCTTTTTCAGATATTGGTTCAATAAATCAATATCTGGTTTGATACAGATGGTGAGTAATACGAAAAGTACTTTTAAGATGTTGAAGATTTTTTGTGCGCTTCGTATGGGAAAAAATCTATTCGCGAATATAAGTGCTCACTAAGACGGACATCATGAACATTTAACAAATAATAAAATTCTTGTTCAATTATTCCAATTTTGATTGTACAGGGTCCAAGAACACGGCCGGAGTAAACGATTCAAAGAAAGTGATCTTTGAAGCTGCACCGAGACGTGCATCGAGTCTCCTGTTTGTCGAGACGTAATGGATAGACTTTCGGAACAAAAGTCCGAGAACTTTTTGGCAAAAAGCGGCATCTGCCGACGTTTTCTTATTTTCAGAAATCAAACAGCCGATGAAAGGGGTGAGGTAAAGAGGTAAAATGCGACGATGGAGTCAATGATCGAGCAACCAAACACGGCAACGCAAGAGAAACTCTCCGATGCTTTCAAAGCACTCTACGCGCCGAGTAGAGTAGCCAGTAGGAGGGATGTACGTTGAAAAATGAAAAATGAAAACTTCTCAACACGTTCGCGACCACGCGTCACGTGTGTTTGACGTGATCAGTTACCACATTGATACGATATGATACAAACGGATGAAGTATATTATTCATTAACGCCTACACACGTACGCGACACTTGTGTAAAGTGCTCCGTTTATTTACTCCGTGTTTCGTACGCGTACAGAATGCACGAGTAATATCGCGTTGCGTAAAAGTATTGCACGTAAGGAAAGCACGATCCACAGCGAGATTATTTCGAATTCAACCTTTCGTTACGTCGTCAGTCTCGGAATCAGAAATTTTCAAATACACCGTGTACAGGGATCTCGCGCGCGCAACCGGCAACGATTGGTTTCCATCAGCGACGACTTACCAGCCGTTTCGAGGGCTTTATCAGGGGTCTGTTCATTCCGTTCATCTTGTGATAGAGTCCGCACGCGTTGCACAGATAATGCCCGGTGCCGTCTCTCCTCCAAAGTGGCGTCGATATAGCCCCGCAGTTGACGCACTCGCGACCCTCGCCGAATTGAAAGTCCATCGCTGTGTCTGAAACAGTCGAGAAATAATTTGAAATAATTTCGCAGGGGATGCGTTTCTCTCTCTCTCTTTCTCTCTCTCTCTCTCTCTCTCTCTCTCTCTCTCTCTCTCTCACGACGCACTCGAATTTCATCGGGGGTCGTCGAGGCGACGCGGCGTCGCTGTCGAGTAGCGAGGAAAAAAACGAGCCACGTACAGATCTGTACACTCGTACACAGATACGATACGAGGGGTATCTACTCGCGCGAAAGAGAAACAGGCCACGCACCGTACGCACCGTATGCACCGCGAAGAACACTCGAACCAGAGCGAGAATTCGTTTGAAAGAAGCCGCTATCGCTGGCGCGATGCGACGCAGATGGCCTACCACCGTCGAAAATCGGCATCGACGTCGCCGTCGCCGTCGATCGTCGTGGAACCATGAGAGCCAGAGAGAGAGAGAGAGAGAGAGAGAGAGAGAGAGAGAGAATTCGGCGAGTTTTCGTGAACATATACGAACCGTAAGGGGAGGCTCGTTGGAAGCCGGCTCCGTCGTAGGCGCGCCAGGAGGACATCATGGCGACGTTTTGGGCGTAAAACGGAGCGGCGGCGGCGAGGCTGGAGTGATGGTGTCCGGTGTGCGGATGTGCCGCGTGCGGATGCGGGTGAGGGTGAGGATGACCCGAGTGTTGACCCATGGCGGCTGCAGCAGCCGCGGCCGCGGCCGCGGATCCGCTCGCGTGGCCAGCGAGAGCGTGGTGGGCGGCGTACGTCTCGACCCCATGCTGCCACGAGGCCGCCGCTGCCGCGGTCTTCTCCCTTTTCGGAACCGAGAACCAACGAAATCGCTGTGCGTTTTACCGAGCTAGGTAGAGTCGAACGACGGCGATCGGCCGACGGACGTCACCAAGTCGGCGTTGCTTACCAAGTCGGGGAGCCGGAGCCGGGGAACGAGTGGTACTGAGCGGCGGCGGCGGCCGCGGCGGCCGCAGCAGCCGTCGCCGCCGATGGGATCGTCGGCCTCGAGGACGGTACGTAAACGGGCGCTTGAAGTTGTTGACCGTGTTGTTGCTGCTGCTGCTGCTGTTGTTGCTGCTGCTGCTGCTGCTGCTGCTGTTGTTGTTGTTGCTGCTGCTGCTGCTGCTGAGACTGTTGTTGTTGCTGCTGCTGTTGGTAGTCGGAACTCGCGCCGTAGCCGCTGCTTCCGCCCCCGTGGAACATCCTCCCCGAGAGCTAACACCACGGCATCTGCTCGACAGAAGAAAACCTGGCGATTACTCGCGGTAGGCCGGACGATCGAAGCGCACAAGGTCCGAGAGGTGCGAGAACGAAAAGCGGAGTATGGTGGTTCGCCATAGCGCCGCGCTGGCTACGAACGGAGAGAGATCGCGCGAGTCGATCGACCGACGCGACGCGACGGCGGTTCGGGTGGGACCGATTACCGAGGGATCACCGGTAGTGCGCAGGGCGCAGAGCGCAGAGCGCAGGACGCAGGACGCAGGGCGTAGGACGCAGAGGGGGTGGAAGAGCCGTGGGACGCCCGGAGGGCGGGATGGATCGCCCGCGAAGCTTGGCAGCCCCGTGGTCGGCCAAGAGCAAACTCGTCTGTGTACGTGCGTGCGTGCGTGCGTGCGTGCGTGCGTGCGTGCGTGCGTGCGTGCGTGCGTGCCAGCAGTGGACGCAGAGAACGCGAAGAGGGAAACACGTACGCCGCGAAACCGGGGACGAAGGGGGATGGAGATGCAGAGCGAGAGGGAGAGAGCGGCGCGCAGCCGCGTCTCCACCTTCGAGGCACGACTCCGCTCCGAACGCAGAATCGGAGATACGGGATAGCGGCCATCGCGGCCACGAATAAGATCCGTGTAGGCGGGACCAAAGCTCCGCCGCGCCGCTTTCGCGCGCGTACGCGATTCCGCGAACGCGTCCTCGTCTCCGCGAGCAAACTCGCCGCCACGTCGCCCTCCGCTCATCTCGCTCTTTCTCCCTCCCCCCCTTTCTCCTTTCTTCTCTTGCACACCTCACTCTCTCTCTCTCTCTCTCTCTCTCTCTCGCTCTCTTTATTTTTCTTCGTTTTCGTTTTTGTTTTCTCTCGGCCGTCGTTTGTCAGTCCTCTCACCGTTGGAGGTTTTCGGGTGTACGAGTCGTACGTGCGACCAGCCAAATTGTACGCGTCAGCGTCGTGCAAGCGGTCTCGTTCGTTTCGCGATTGGAATTTGGCAGCGTGAGCGTAGTGGTAAACTCGGTGAATTTTCCGCGGAGCGCGGAACTCCGACTTTGATCCGATCGACGACTAGCCTTCGACGACGCGAGAGATTTTAACGGATTCGAACCGGTTAGAAGCGTAATCGTGTTCCAACGATGGAGCGGCAGTGGCGCGGCGCCGGAACGAGCAGGCATCTGGCGCCAGGCCGAACTTTGGCGTTTTCAAGACGAAAAGGGACCGCGCGCGCTCGCTCGCTCGCTAGAGGAAGAGATCTCTCGCGTTGGAGGAACCGAGCAGGAGGCTACCGCGTGTAGAGACTGTAACGCGATAGACACGGATCGGTTGCGCGTCCTCGAGCAAGTCGTTAAAACGAGCGTGAAAGACTGGGGCGACGCGGCTCGGAGGATCGACCTCGCTCGACTCGTCGATACCCAGCCACGCTAATGGGAATAACGTTCCTTCTCGTCCACCGTTTGGTTTTTTCCTTTCCCTCTCCTCCCCTCCCCCGGATCGTTCATTGGATCACTGGTCGTCTCGTCTCGAGACTGGGATCGATTCGAGCTCAATTCCCCACGCGAGCCAATCGCCCCCCTCTCCCTTTTCTCCTTTTGCCATATTCGTCACGATTTCTCCAACGATCAGCCTTCCCCGACGGTGTGCACGTCTCGCATCCGCGTGATCGACGTATTCGACGATTCTCCGCGAGATTGATCAATCGCCTCGAACACCTACGTCACGATTCTCTCACGAAATCTGCGAGTTTCGAAAAAACGAAGCCAACAGAAAGATGAGAGAGAGAGAGAGAGAGAGAGAGAGAGAGAGAAAGAGAGATTTTGCACGAAGAGAAGCAACGTCAAAGTTCCGAATGCCGCGCGCCGGATGGCCCCCGATCGTTCGATGGCAAGGCGCCACGGCGCCGACCGCGTAGAAGGGTTTCCTTGTAACCACGTCGTAGCTACGCCACGCACACTCTCGCACGCTTCTGTCTGTCCCGCCGTCCGCTCTCTCTCCTCTCTTTCCTTCCATCCATTCGATCGTTGTCGTCGTCGTCGTTGTCATTGTCGTTTTCTTTTTCGTTCAGAGTCGTCATTCTAGGCAACTAACTCTCGCGTCGCGTATCCTTCTCTCACCCCCGCCTTCATTCTCTCTACCTGACCGACAGTTAATTACTCCTAAATCAAGTGTCCACGACGTACATCGAAGTGTATTCTGCGAAAATTGTTCGCCATTCGCATTTTCGTTTCTCCTCTCCCTTTTCTCCTTCGTCGTCGATGTCTTTGGCGTTCTTTTTTTCTTTTTTCTTTTTTTCGTTCAATTCGGTCACTCTAGGCAACTAACTCTGCGTCACGTTTCCTCCTCGCGCCGCCTTCTTTCTTTCTACATGACCGACAGTTAATCACTCGTCTATCAAGTATCCACGACGTACGTCGCAACCTGCGAAAATTCTTCGCCACTTGTATTTTCCCCTTTTTTTTTTTTTTTATTCTTCAATCTCGTCGAATCGCTGAACGAACGAAACGCACGGTAGGGGAGAGAGCGAGAGAGAGAAAGAGAGAGAGAGGAGGATGAAACACGGAAAACGAAAGAAACGGCTCTTCAGTGTGAACGACCCTTTCTGTAACCCGATACCAAAGATGCAAACGAGAGATAAGATTCCTCGGGAATTGCGCTCCGGTCCAGTTTCGGCACGCGCCTCTTCGCGTCCTCTGGCCCTCCTTCTTCGCACGCTTTCATCGACAGTGTCACGCGAGCATCCTCCGCGAGCTCTGCTACTTCCTCTGTTTGATTTTTCTTCTTCCACCGTCCCGTCGTCACGTCGTTTTCCACCAAACTTCCCATCGGTCGCGGTGTTTTTCTGCTCAAACCTAACTTAACCTAAAAAATCTCGATGCAAAAAGTCGATCGGAGAAAAGTCGAACGGCCTGCGTTTCGCTCGAGAACAGGCGTCGCTAGTTTCTCGTGTAAATTCTAGCAAAATTCGAGCATTTACTTCGAGCCTCGACGAGCGTGATCGCCTCGAGAGATCGAAGCGTGAACGGCGAAACGGAAAGAAGGAGGCGAGAGCGTGGAAGGAAGAAGAAAAAGGAAAAGAACCGGGGAAAGATCTCTTCGAGCGAGTGTCATATTGGTGTATGCGTGCGTGTGCGTGTATATACGTGAGTGGGAACGGCTGGCGAGACAAACGAGGCTAAGGGGGAAACCACCGTGAAAAGAGCAGAGAAAGGAGGACAGATTCACCTGGTGGTATACCTGGCCTGCTAGAAATTCTGCTACTAGTCGGACCATCGTCGTCGTCTTCGTCTTACGGAAATATCTTCGCACTTGTACCGCGTCGTTTGCGAAACGTTCCGCGTGAAACTCGTATCGCCCGTTCTACCTTCGCCGAGATCGACCAAATACAGTCGAACGAGCTTCGACGAGTCTGTCGATAAATTTCAAATTTGGCGCTGTTTCCGGCTCCAAGAAAGACGCAAGTACAGGCGGTCCTCGACTTTCGTACATTCTACAGTTTGCTATTTCGTACGTGCAGTGAAGAGCGCAATTGTATCAGTAACGATGACTAAATTTGTGAATAATTTGAACGGACGTAACTTGTGGCAATCCACTCGATTTCATTTTAAAGAGCGAGGCTTTTGGCGGAGGGGATACATTTTTCTCGAAAGTTGTAAAAATTCAAACTTGTGAAAATTCTTTACGTGATACTAGATCTACCACGGTCACGAAGATTTAAATTTTCTTTTCACTTGCGCTGTGTGACTTTTTTTTTCCACTTTATTGAATTTCGAACATTAGGATCGAATAACGTTGAAATTTCTCGTTCGACCCTAACATTCAATGTTCAATAGTACGACAAGTTTTAAGAGGTTGTTGACTAATGTCACATCTAGTTACGAGAAAAAATGTTTTAATTTCAACAATCTTTGAGAAAAAGAAACGTATCCTCACATTCTCCTCAGTTACACTTGGACGATGTAAAGTCATCTGGGGGGGGGGGGGGGGGGGGGGGGGAACGAACTGACGACTGTCAAAGCAGATCAAGTGGATCGTTGCACGATCTTTTTCCCGACAAAATTGCATCAGTTTAAATTATCGTTCAATTTCATTATTTATATAATGAAATTATATAACAATTTATATTTAATATAATATAATATATTCATATTTATATTATATAACATAATTATATAATTTATATAAATAATTAAATTATCGCATCGTTTTCATCGTCGTTGGTGAAATTGTGCTTTTCACTGAAGATGCCACCGGAAGTTAGCCGCTGTCGCAATCACTCGCTTCGCACACACACACACACACACACACACACACACACGCTGTTTCGCGATCGAGAAGATTCGGACAAGTAGTCTTTCGATTTCTACTCGCGGCTGGAAACGTTTCTACGTTTCTACGAACGTTGGTCGCGATTTCGGATCAATTTAGCTCCGCGACGGCCCTGCTATCGACCAGCGAGCCCGAGAGAGGTACGAAAAGGAAATTCCTCGAATAGTTTCGGAGTGTCGAGCAACGAACGCCACCGTTCAAAGCTGACCGCCGCGACGCGAACGTCGCTGGTCCGTTCCTTTTTTCGCTATCCATCTTTTTCCAATCCCTTCCGTTCCAGCCAATTGGTCGATCTCCATCGAGCGAGAGTAGAAGATCGGGACCAACTACGTCATCGACCGGATACGACAGATGGAGAGGACAAGGGAAACGTATCTCGTATATCCGCGGGAAACCGTGAAAAAAAGGTAGGATCGTATTCGAACGCACGTTCTCATCGCAATCTCGATCGATTTACATACGGCACGTAACTACCTAGGTATCATCCTCAATTATTGATCGATCTCCCCGTCACTTTTCTTTTCTTTTCCTTTTTCCTTTTCTTTTTTTTTATTCGATCACCATTCGTTACAAACGGCTGCTCGTCGTCGCGACAGTGAATATATACTATACAGGATGTTTCTGTAACTTGTGGGACCCAATTCGAGAGCTGATTGTACGCGTAAAAATAATGAAAAAAAGTCATATAAATATATGTCCTATC